TCCATTTGTTAGTTTTGTTCGTTGCTCTAGTGTTTAACACGCGAACTCTTTCCTCTTTCTCAAATGTTCTCTCACTCTTTCCTTTCCCATCTTTATACACTTTCTGCTGTTCTTGCTTTCCCTCTACGACCTGTGCTAGATCAGGTTTAACCAAACTCAACCTTGTTCTCAAACGGCGCTTCATCATCAACTCTCCTGGCGACACACCTGTGGTGCTGTGAGGAGTGGTTCGATACCTAAGGAGAAAATTTGCCACGCCTTGGGTGCCTTGCCAACTTGTTTGGCTAAAGCTTCTTTAACCACTCTCACGGACGTTTCCGCTGCCCCATTTGATTGCGGATGATATGGGGGGACTAATGTGTGCTTGATTCCATTTTTAGTCATGAACTCGACAAACTTAGTTGCAGTAAATTGAGGTCCATTGTCGGACACTACCTCCTCTGGCAAACCATAAACAGCAAAGATCAATCGAAGCTCATCAAGAGTACGTTGGGTAGTAGTAGAGGTAATATGTTTTACTTCAATCCACTTTGAGTGGCTGTCAATTACCACAAGAAAATAATCCTTACCTTCTTGACAGAAATCAATATGAACACATTGAAATGGTCTGGTCGGCCATTTCCATGGTATCAGTGGTGCATGAGGAGGGGTGTTTCTTACCGACTGACACACTGTGCAAGCTTTCACAGCCCTCTCAATATCCTCATCCATCTGGGGCCACCAAACACAGGTGCGAGCAATTGCTTTCATTCCGCATACACCTGGATGTTCCCAATGTAATTCATTGAGCATTTTCTCTCTAAAAACTGGTGGAATAACCACTCTGGAGCCCCACAGAACACAATCTTGTTCGCAGGATAATTCCAGCTTTCGGTTATGATATGGTCTCAGATTTTCATCCTAACAATTCTCAGGCCAACCTGACATGACGTAATAATATACTTTACAGAGAACAGAATCAACTTTAGTTGCCTTCCCAATATATCTTTTGCAGTAATTGGAAAATCATCATCGATTGCACTTACCTGGTAGATTGCACTCTCACTACCTATAGTTGAGTTTTGATGTGGCAACCTAGAGAGTGATCACAATTAGCATGTTTTTCAGATGATTTGTATTCTATCCATCATTTCTATCACATAATCATAGGCAGAGAGTATCAATGCCCACCTTTACATCCTTGCAGCAGCAAGTGGGGGAATTGCAGACCTATTGCAGACCCAAAATTGCCAATAGTGGTTTGTGATCTGTGATCAATGTAAAATTTCGACCATACAGAAACTGGTGAAATTTTTTTTACCCCGAACACTATCGACAATGCCTCACGCTCAATTTGGGCATAATTTTTCTCAGTTTGACTAAGTGTGCGAGATGCGTAAGCAGTTGGTCTTTCCTGACCATCGTCCATCACATGACTCAGAACGGCACCAAGTCCGTAACTAGATGCATCACAAGCAAGCCTTAATTTCCTATTTAAATCGTAGTGTACTAACAGGGTATCACTAGTAAGACTTTGTTTACAAACATCATAAGCTTTTTGACATTCGGACGTCCAATTCCACTGGACATCTTTTTTAAAAAGCTTATGCAAAGGTGCTAAGGTTGTTGCCAAATTAGGAAGAAATGAATGATAATATTGTACCATACCCAAGAAAGATCTTAGCTCACTGACGTTAGATGGCACAGGCGCCTTCCTAACGGCATCCACTTTCTCCTCTACCGGGTGCAAGCCCTTTTCATTAATTTTAAGACCTAGGTACACAACTTCTGGTTTTAAAACTCACATTTTGACTGTTTTAAGTGTACATTATGCCGACATAATCTTTCTAAAACCTCACCTAATATCTTCAGATTCTGTCTCCAGTCATTCCCACCAAAACGAATGTCATCCTGCTTACACACACATTTCTCTATCCCTTGGAGAATCTGATCCATTTTAGACTGAAATATCTTAGGTGCAGATTTAACCCCATAAGGTAACTTAGTGTAGCTATACAACCCTTTATGTGTGTTTATTGTAGGATACTCTTGACTCTCTTTATCAACATTTAGCTGAGCATATGCATGAGATAAATCGAGTTTACTAAAAACTTTAGACCCTGTTAGCATAGTGTACAAATCCTGTGTAGTGGGAAGAGGATACTGCTCGTCTTGCACCGACTGGTTTATTGTTACCTTATAGTCTCCACACAACCGTATAGACTTATCGGCCTTTGGTACAACTACTACTGGACTTGCCCACTTTGGCCTCTCAGTTTTTTTTTATCACATCATTTCTCTCAAGTTTTTCTAACTCCGCTTCTACAGCCTCTTTCAGTGCATAAGGAACTTTACGTGGCTTAACAAACACTGGCCTTGCCCCGTCTTTCATAGTGATATGTGCTTCAAACCCTTTCATTCCTTCATAGCTGTCTTCAAACATGTTTTTGTACTTTGACAGTAACACATTAAGTTGGTCTCTAGCATTACTTTGCTCTGACGTTTTTATGCTAAAAACCCTGCCCCAATCTAACTTCATCTGGGCAAGCCAATTTTTACCTAGTAGAGTGGGTTTCCCTACATAGTTAGCTATCACAATTGGCAACCTAAAAGTCTTATTTTGGTGCACAATCTCACATTTTATCTCACCACTTACCTGAAGTATCTCGCCGGTGTAGGTCTTCAATTTTACAGCTGACGGATAAAGTGGAAAATGACTAAACTTCTGATCATACATGCTTTTACTCATTATCGAGAAATCAGCAGCGGTGTCAATCTCCATGTCGCACACCACCCCATTAAGAGATAGTTCTACATTATATCTCTTATGAGAATAGTTCTCTGACTCTACTGAATATAAAGAATAAATACCTAATTCATCACTATTGACATTATCGTTATTACTATCGTACAATGATAAATTTTGAATGTTACCTCTGTCTGCTTGTCCGTGTTTGGATGTTGAACCAGGCTTAACCTCTTTACTGGTTTTACTACGACACACTGACGCTACATGACCTATTTTTGTACATTTAAAGCATTTTTCTGTTTTAAATCTACACGTTTTTGCAGTGTGATTTCCACCACACCTGTAGCATGCTTGCTCGTCATTTCTCTTGCTTTCTATTTGGTTCACCGTCCCTTCACTGGAAGCACTGGCACTAGTAGTTGGATGAAACTCTTGCGTGTTCCTTTCAGCCATCTCCATAGACTCGCAATCTGACAGGCTTTGTCGAATGTGATATTTTCGGTGGTCAACAGTTTGTTCTGTATCTTGACGTTGTTTAGCCCTCATACAAAGCGATCTCGTAATGCTCGATTTAAAAATTCCCCAAAATTACAATGAATGGAAAGTTTTTTTAATGCCACTACATATTCACCAATTGACTCACCGGGTTTTTGACTACGTGTTCCAAAATGAAAACTTTCAGCGATCTCCAACGGTGCTGGGTTAAAATGCTTCTCTAGTGCTTGAAAAAAGTTAGCCAAAGACGTGTCTTTTGGCTTCGCTGGCACCAACAAATTACTTAATGTGGGATATACATCCGCTCCAATCTCAGTTAGAAAAATGGCACGTTTCCTGTCCTTGACAAGTTGATTAGCCCCTTCATTTTCTTCACCTGGTGTCTCTACAATGCTGTTTGCCGTAAAAAACATTTCCATTCTTTCCACATAGGATTTAAATGCCTCTCGTTCGGAACTGAACTCACCAACATGGCCGAACAGTCCTCCGGCTGTTGCCATTTCGATGTTCAGTTAACAGATTTAATAAATTTCTTACTTCCAAACTTTTCCACTACTGCGAGGGTATCTCACGCAACTTTGAGCATGTAGAATATATCCGATCCTCGTCGCCAAATGTAGTATACTGAGACTTGTTTTAGTATAAGAATATAAGCAAAACAAACAACGTGGTCGAGTTGCAACGCACTTCTTTTATTCCCATACAGCATTATGGGATATGCATAAATTATGCTAATATGAACCTTAATATATTACAGTGATCATCTTCTCGCATGTTCAGCAAACAATCGGTATATATAAAGTGATAAAGCAATGCAGTAGGCGAAATTTAAATTTTTGTTAACAATGACAAACAATCAATCGGGAAACTCGAGGATATCAGGATATGTCTAAATGTTGCTCTTGATACTTCTTATATGCCATGACTTCGACGAAAACTTCTAAAAGATTAAGCTCTCATTGTAATGTAGAAAAGTATAGCCAAGTTAGACTGATAAACGTTTCGAAGTTTGGGCGAATTGGAAAATTCATCACGGCGCAATTTAATACAAGTTTTTCGGGTTTGTGTTGTGTTTACAGTTTACATTCAGAAGTGGTTGCTCGAACAGCAAATTAGTTTACTTTGAAGCTAATATTTCGCTTTCTAAGACACATGCAGTATTATAAAAAATTTTCTGTCTTCCGAGTTCTGTTGTCTTATAAAGATAAACCGTTAAAATTTCAGCGAAATATATTCGGCATTTGATTCTGTCTGGCTAAGATTCATACAGTATAAATATGCCGATCCTGTCCGCGTTTTAAATATAACCGAATATCTTTAATATTCAAATCGGCTGATCACTAATGGTGCATTTATACTTTATATTTTATACTTTATACTTTATTTAGAAATGGTAAATACATTGCAGCCATGAGCTGAATTGCGTATTATACTTACAATTAAAAATTATTAAAATTAGAGTTTTGAAATATATCAAAGTATTATAATTAATTAACTAAATTGTCAAAAGTGTCTGTTTATAATAAGCATGCAAAAGTTATTAAGAACATAAAATAAGTAAATAAAGAGTAAAACCTATTCCGTTTTGCTACTCGATGCCATAATAAAACTATTACGGCTAAACCGATTGGTTTTACAAACTGGAACGTCAAATGATCTAATAGATCCCAGGTCGTGGATGGAGTTAGGCCTTGGCGGCAAGAGGTAATGTAGACTGTGATTAGAATCTTTGATAATTGCATTAAACAATTTCTTGCAGCCGTTTTGATGATGAGTGGAAAGATATTCAATTCCACTGAGATTTAAAGCTTCCTCATATTTCAAATGGGGATAAATAATTCCAAATACGCGTTTCTGGACTCGTTCCAAATCTTGACTTAAATACTTGGGTAGGCTGTAGTGGAAAACCGGGACAGCATAGTCCAACACAGATCTTATACAGGTTATGTAAAATGTGATTAGTTCTTGTATTGGGATTTTTGCTCTCTTAAGTTGAATAAGGAAATATATCCTTTTGGAGGCTTTGTTGACTAATTCAGTGATATGTTTATTCCACGTAAGGTTGTTGCTAATGTTAAGACCTAGCACTTTAAAATCGGATACAACTTCTATGATTTGATTCTCAATTGAAATTGGGTTAAGCTCGGGTTGATTCCGTGCAAAAGAAATTCGTATCTCCTTACATTTATCAGCATTTAATTGCATTCTATTGATATTGGACCAATCTAAAATTTCATTTGCAATCAGTCGAGCTTCACTGTGCTCGCCTTGCAATACAACTTCCGACGCCGTGGTATCGTCAACGTATTTCCATAAGTTCTCACTATGTTTCTTCAAATCATTAATCATTATTAAGAAGAGCCAAGGGCCTAATTTGGTTCCTTGAGGAACACCAGCCGGTACTTGGCCCCATTCAGAAAGGCAACTATTTGACAGCTTAACCCTTTGATATCTATCCGATAAAAAGTCGATAATCCAGTTGATGATACTAGTTGGTAAATCTAAAGCACCTAACTTGATCCTTAGGATACTATGATCGATGAAATCAAATGCCTTTTTATAGTCAAATAGAAACACTCGGATAGTTGCTCCTGTTCCGTCCAGCATTGAGGTCCAGTGATGTAACATGTCTATTAAAGCAAATGTGGTTGAAGAATTAGGAATAGAACCAAATTGATTTGAGTCGATGGATTTCAGAACCGCAGGTTTGATATATCTATTTACCACACATTCGTCAGCTACTTTGGATATGCTCGGGGTCAGTGAGATAGGTCTGAGATCTTTTTCTTACCTGGACAAGTATCAGTATCTTTAAATTCAATTTATGTGCAATTTTGACCAAAATTCAACCGACGACTGCTTTCAAAATATATTTTATATTTATTCCGCTCCTAAATCAACTGACGTCACTTTCCAGAATTTGAAAGGTAAATTCTGATTGGTCGACGTAGCGGAATTCAGGTTGGCGCTAGGGTAAGCAGACGGTAGTATTTCGTCGCTTGGCGTAAGAACTACAACGTCTGTGAGCAGGCTAACCTTAAACCTGCAATAAACTATTTTTTCCTTAGATGCGTATGTTTACGAACTGGAATTTGTTGTACTGGAAGGCCTGGATTATTACGACGATCTTACTGATGACAGTAAAAAATATTTCACCGACTCATTAATTGGCATCGAGAACGCGGTAAGCTTTTAATTGTTTCAGAAAGATTTAATTTTGATTTTATGTGATATGTTATACATATTCGTGCTAGTTTACCACCCTGAATCCTGATGTCCGGGTCCGGCTTACTCTGTCCAAGAAAACTATTTGGCAAAGCTAGACAAATTTGGCTGGCGATGTTTACATCATTGCTATCCAATTCACAACTTTAGACAACTCCCATTTCAAGTTACTGTTGTTCTAGTTTACAGAGAATAAGGCAAAGGTAAATATAAGCATTAGAAATATAGGATAAAAGACGAAAGGGAGGTCTTAAATTTCAATGAAATTTTTATGTTGCTTATATACCTATCGCGCCCACTTGCTATTGTCCTAGGAGGTTGCGTTTGTGGGATGCAATAAGGCTGAACATGCGCGCATTAAATACGCGTTAATGTGGTTAAGCATGCGCAGTATATCATTTCACGCCCCACAAGCGAGAGATTAGATATTACTGTACATATTTCATGAGTGCACCAAGCAAGTTTGACGGCTGTAAGACTAGTCTTCTTGAAACGAATGTCAGTTACTCTTACCTAGTGGTGGAGTTTGACGGGCTCTGTTTGTGGAATTTTTTTTTCAATTTATGGAAATTTCTGCTTTCCCAGGTGGAAATTTTGAATTTGAAAGTGGAAGCACTGTTTTCTTGCAAATTCAAGACTCTGTGTGTATAAAGGCCTGTTTACACTTGCAATTTTCACTGCGATTTTAAGTGCGATTTTTTCTGCTGACGTGATGGCGACGTGAAATCGCTGGTGTAAACACCCTCCCCTGCGATTTAGCTGCAAGTCTTCACTGCAACAAGCTGGAAATATGTCGATCGTGATTACGAAATATATCTCAAATTGCCTGAAAAAGATGTGAACAAAATACGACTGTGCTACCCCTCAACGGCAGGCATTGTCACCTTCCAAGCAAAATAAACCTATGAATATTTACAGTTCTTCACTTTCACGCTGTTTTTAAAAGCAATATTGCTCAGGTAAATCTGCTATAAATGCCATAATAATATAGATGAATAGGGAAACTACCTGTTTTCAATATAGTGTGAAGAGAAAATAGTGCATTAACAACATAAAAAAAACGAGAAAAAAAGAAGTAAAACGAAGTACTGCAATACTATAAATACGTGCCGCGTTCACTTTGGTCTTTGTCTACAAAATTATAATTAAGTAATTTTGTTTTCTACCGTCCCAGTTGTTGGTTGCCAATCTCACTAAATGTCAAACCCGTAACGAGTCTTGCATTTTCAGCCTAGCTTTAAGAACCAGGTCTTGAGTCGGAAACCAAAACCGATCGCGAACAGTAGAAAACGGGTGTGGTAAGTCTATAATTAATAGTTATCCATACCCTCCTGTAGATGAGACCTTTAGAAATTCACCTTACGATTTGAATCTTGAGCTCTTTTATCTGTGCTAAAGCAACGGGTGCGTAAAATAGAATAGAAGTGAATTTTATGCATCACGAAGTTGTATAAACTTTAATCCGGTTTCGTGTATTATGTGCTGAATAAAAGGTAATTACTAATTTGACAATTTTGATGCAGTAATGCACCTTCGCACGTTTAAAAGCTATTTTAAATTCCCAGGAGCAGAAAATCTTGGGTATAACAATTTTAGATATTTTAATTTCTAAACGCCTCCTTTTTGTTATACGCACCCTTTCCGCCCGACTATTTACACCCGGGTGTTTGAGAACATAGTGAAGTGCAATGTTGTCCTCCATTATGTCATAGATTAAGTGAGAACAGAACTTCAGTAAAAAAGTTGTCCAACGGTCGCAATCTTCCTAGCAAGTGTAGCTCGCGTGATAGTTCGTCATTTGATAATACGTCATTGCTTTCAAAAACTTTCAACACCTTTTCTACAACTTTAATTGCTTTTAACAACTTTAAACATTCAACAAATGATGGTCTTGATTGATTAATCCATAAATTTCGATCGAAAAAAGCCGCAATAAAACGCAAAAGCTTGTGTTTTTCAGGACGCCATTTTGCTAGCAAGTGTCATGGCGTCAGCAAATAATATGACGTGTACTTCATCTGTGATTATGTGATGGACGGTCTTCGACGTTATACGCATGCGCGAATATAAGCTCGCGCTAAAAAAAATTGTTTTTCATTTTGGAAAGATGTATTTTGCTGTTTTACAATGTATTTCTGCGATGTATTTCGCTTTTAGCTGGAAATAAGCCTACATTTTTATGGATTAGTGGTTGTGAACCGTGAAACTAAATGTGGAAGGCATGCATAAACACGATTTTTTTCGAAGACGAACCAGATGTTTTAACAGATTTTAA